ATTTACATCTTTAATCGTTATCCATTATATGGACGATATTCTTATTTGTCACAAAGAGTTAGATGTTTTACAAAAGGCTTTTCCCATGCTGGTGGCTGAATTAAAACAGTGGGGATTAGAGATTGCCTCAGAAAAGGTTCAAATTGCAGATACAGGCCTCTTTTTGGGCTCAAAGATTACTCCCAAAAATATAGTTCCTCAGAAAATAGAAATTCGCAAAGACCACTTACAAACATTAAATGATTTTCAGAAACTTCTGGGAGATATAAATTGGTTGAGGCCCTTTTTAAAAATTCCATCTGCTGATCTAAAACCCCTCTTCGATCTCCTGGAGGGTGAGCCTCATATCTCCTCACCCAGAAAATTTACCCCTGCCGCCCACCGAGCCTTACAGATGGTGGAAGAGGCCTTACAGGAAGCACAATTACAACGAATTGAGGAGTCACTACCTTTTAATCTGTGTGTTTTTAAGACAGCTCAATTGCCAACTGCAGTCCTGTGGCAACATGGACCATTACTTTGGATTCATCCAAATGCTTCCCCTGCTAAGATTATTGACTGGTACCCTGATGCTGTTGCACAGCTCGCGCTTCGCGGAATAAAAGCAGCTGTTACACATTTTGGCAGGGATCCTGATTCCTTGATTGTGCCTTATACTGCTGCACAAGTTCAGACCTTGGCAGCCACATCTAGTGATTGGGCAGTTTTAGTTACTTCCTTTTCAGGACAAATTGATAATCATTTTCCAAAGCATCCAATTTTACAGTTTGCCCTAAACCAGGCTATAGTGTTTCCACAAGTGACAGCTAAAGACCCACTCCCAGATGGGACTGTGGTGTACACTGATGGATCAAAAACTGGTATGGGAGCTTATGTGGTCAAGGATAGGGTTATATCTAAACAATATAATGAAACTTCACCTCAAGTTGTAGAATGTCTGATAGTACTGGAGGTTCTTGAGGCTTTTCCAGGACCCCTCAATATTGTATCAGATTCCTCTTATGTGGTTAATGCAGTTAATCTCCTTGAGATAGCTGGAATAATAAGATCCTCCAGCAGAGTTGCTAACATCTTTCAGAAGATACAAGCTGCCTTGTTAAATAGGAGATTTCCTGTTTTCATTACCCATGTCCGAGCACATTCTGGACTCCCAGGTCCCATGTCCTTAGGGAATGACTTAGCGGACAAGGCTACAAAGCTGGTGGCCGCTGCCTTGTCTACCCATGCACAAGCAGCAAAAGAATTCCATAAGCGCTTTCATGTGACGGCTGAGACCTTGCGCCGTCGTTTTGCTCTATCCAGGAAAGAGGCTAGGGAAATTGTTACTCAATGCCAGAATTGCTGCGAATTCTTACCTACTCCCCACATGGGAATAAACCCACGTGGCATTAGACCATTGCAGATGTGGCAGATGGATGTTACTCATATTCCCTCTTTTGGAAGGCTTCAATATGTTCATGTTTCTGTTGACACCTGTTCTGGCGTAATGTTTGCCACACCCCTAACAGGGGAAAAGGCCTCATATGTGATTCAACATTGCCTTGAGGCCTGGAGTGCTTGGGGAAAACCCAGAATTTTAAAAACAGACAATGGACCAGCATATACCTCTCAAAAATTCCGACAGTTTTGTCGGCAAATGGATGTTACCCATCTAACTGGCCTACCTTATAACCCTCAAGGACAGGGCATTGTGGAACGTGCCCATCGTACACTCAAATCATATCTGATTAAACAAAAGGGGAGTATTGAGGATGTTCTACCCTCGGTACCAAGAGTTGCTGTATCCATGGCACTTTTTACCCTTAATTTCTTGAACTGTGATGCCCAAGGCCACACTGCGGCTGATCGCCACAGTTTAGAGCCTGATAGGCCAAAAGAAATGGTAAAATGGAAAGATGTCTTGACTGATCTCTGGAAAGGCCCGGATCCTATTCTTATAAGATCCAGGGGAGCTGTGTGTGTTTTTCCACAGGAGGAAGAAAACCCCCTGTGGATCCCTGAAAGACTCACTCGAAGAGCTCCTTCACAACTCCAGAATAAGAAGGATGGAGGCCAAGTGGGTGATGAAGACTCTCCTACTCGGGATGATGGTTCCTAGTATGATGGGAGAGTTACGGTGGGCCATCATGTCTACCTTCCCCCTACCGATGCCAGTGATGCAGAATGCCCAGGTGTTCCCTAGATTTTTCACAAATAATAGAGAGTTGGGGCTTGCCTTTTTGCCTTTAGATCCTCAGATACAGAGTTTTCAGGATGAGAGAACCTTGTCATTAGTAGGAAGCTTGTGCTTTACTGTGATTTCTTCATTAAAGGATAATTTTATTCATATGGATCCAGAAAGATCTAATGCTAATCCTTTTGAATTAATGGAAGCTGTACTGATCTTTCTCCTATGATAGTGAGAAGGGACAGATTACTTTTGATTGGAAAGGGGCATTAGGCAACAGTCTGAGTGAGGGACAGAGCTCTGGATCATCTGATTGGTCCTCCTCCAATGTTAAGTATACCCCTTTTAAGAGAACTAATTATTCAGCTGCCCTTTATTTGGGTTGTGAGTAATGATACCTTAGGTAAGAATCAGAAAGAAATAAATTGCTCTGCTTAGAATTGTTTTTATGCATTATGCTGGGATGCTATTAAGCACCCTTTTGCTTTGGTAATGCGCATGCCTCGATTTATTCCAGCTCCTGTTGAGGCGCCAAGTAATTTGAGTTTGTTTAGGGAAAAGCGAGATTTTTGGGATCTCTGCTATTATTGTGGGCCTGATAGCCACCGCCGCGGTTACTGCTTCGGTTACCGCCTCGGCCCTTGCACTTTCTGCCACTGTGCAGACAACTCAAACCATTAATGAACTATAGGCCACTGTGACCATGGTCCTAGATAAACAGGCCACTGCCAATTCTCAGATACAAGGAGGCCTGATGTTGGTAAACCAACAGATTAATTTGGTTCAGGAACAATTGGATATATTGTGGCAGATGGCCAAATTGGGATGTGAACAAAGTTGCCTGGCCTTTGTGTCACTTAGTACAATATGAGAATTTTACAAGAGCAGCTAACCTGTCAAAAGCTCTGTCTCAACATTTATTACAGAATTGGACTTTTGAGTTTGAGCAGACACTCCGTGAGTTGAGAATGGCGATCCTGCAAGTGAATTCGACGCATCTGGATCTTTCTCTGATGGAAGACCTCTCCCCCTGGATTTCATCTGCATTTTCTTATTTTAAGGAATGGGTGGGGGTAGGATCATTTAGCCTAGTTCTCTGCTGTGGAATAGTGTTGATGCTTTGGATGGTGTGTACGCTCAGAGCCCAAACAAAAGGAGAAAGTGGTGGTGGCACAAGCACTTGCTGCCTTAGAACACGGAGCATCCCCTGACATTTGGTTAACCATGTTAAAGCAATAGGTCGCTGGCCTCCCAGCTCTTGCACCCCACGAGGCTAGTCTCATTGCACGGGATAGAGTGGGTAGGCTTCAGCAGCCCAAGGAGTTGCAAGGCTAAGCACTGCACAGGAGAGGTCTGCGGTATAACGACTTTCTCCTGGGAGATAAGTCATCTTGCATGAAGGTTCTATGTCATGATCTCCTTCCCCCAGAAAAAAGACATCGGACTGGTCAGGACTTCCTCTGGGGATAAGACCCTGGAGAGGAGCTTTGTACATGTTCCGAATTTGCACATGGGGATTTGACCTCTATCTCCACTCCAAAGTTGTGGGTGTCCTATTGCTTCAAAAATAAATGAATAGGGGAGATGTGAGGAGCCGCCCTCGCTATCGCTATTGCCGTTAGAAGATGGCGCTGACATCCACTGTCAGTTGGAGTTAACTGTCGCTGTCAGTTGGAGTTAACTGTCGCTGTCAGTTGGAGTTAACTGTCGCTGTCAGTTGGAGTTAACTGTCGCTGTCAGTTGGAGTTAACTGTCGCTGTCAGTTGGAGTTAACCGTTTAAACTGTGCCTCTCCCGTGACGTCATCTGGGGTGATGTGCAAACCACCAATCCCGGCTCTACACATCTCACTCGGAGCTCCTAGGCTTATATAAGGGGCTGGGTTTCTTAGCTTGGGGTCTCCCTCTAAGAAGCTGATCATCTATCTCTCAAGATGCATTAAAGCTTTACTGCAGAAGGATCCGAGTGTTCTGCGTCGTTCTTGCTGGCGAGACGGTAGCGCGGGACAGGGTTCCACATGGTAGCAGAAGGGAACCAACTCTCTGTCTCTGTCTCTCTGTCTCTGTCTCTCTCTTTCTTGGTTTTGGAGGCTGTCCTGGAACTAGCTCTTGTAGACCAGGCTGGTCTCAAACTCTCAGAGATCCACCTGCCTCTGCCTCCTGAGTGCTAGGATTAAAGGTGTGTGCCACCACCGCCCGGTGAGAACCAATTCTCTTAAATTGTCTTCTGACCTCTACATGCTTGATGTGCTATGCACACACTCCCACACATATAAATAAATAAATGTAATAAGAATGTATCAAAACTGGGGGAAAGTGAGGTTGGGGATGTAGCTCACGATAGAGCATCCGTCTAACATACAGCAGGCTTTTGCTTCACTCTCCACTGCTGCCAAAACAAAACCAAATTTCTTCTTAGTTTACCACAAAGAAGGGCCTCTAGGGGAATGTTGTAAGACTGGGTTTTGTTTCAAAACAGCAGCTTTGTTTATGCACTATTTAAAAACTCGCAGAGGAGCCGGGCGTTGGTGGCGCATGCCTTTAATCCCAGCACTTGGGAGGCAGAGGCAGGCAGATCTCTGTGAGTTCGAGGCCAGCCTGGTCTATAGAGTGAGTTTCAGGACAACCTCCAAAACAATACAGAGAAACCCAGTCTCGGAAGAAAGAAAGAAAAAAAAAAACGACCAATGCTGGGTGTGATGGTGCACGCTTTTAATCCCAGCACTCAAGAGGCTGAGGCAAGGCAGATCAGTCTGAGGCCAGCCTAGTTTATTGTAAACAAGTTCCGGGACAGCCAGGGCTACATAGTGACATATTGCTTTAAAATTTTTTTTGTTGCATCCACTGACAGACCTTGAGTAGTTGGTGGTTGTTCTTCTGGCTTGTACTAGGATGCCAAGGAAAATGCTCCCTGTGCTTCCTGCCTGTCTTTGTGGCAGTCCAGATTGAGTTGGGGAGTACATGTATATGGTAGGTAAATTGTGTGAGTTCAAGCTGGGGAGGCCCTTAATGCGGCCTTCTTGTAACAAACTGGATCTATCACCTGTCACCATATCTGGCTGCTGCTTACCATCCACACAACACCAGGACTTAGGACAAATGGGACTGAAGTCATCTTGAGCTTTTATTTTGACCATGATTTATTTGTAGTGGGGACATTTTCTTTTCTTTTCTTTTTTCTTTTTTTTTTTTTTTAAGAAAAAAACATGTCAGAGGCAGGTGGATCTGTGAGTTCGAGGCCGGGCTGGACCGACAGCCTCCAAAACAATACAGAGAAACCCTGTCTCGAAAAAACAACAAAACAACAATAACAAAAAACAAAAAAAGAAAAAAAGAAAAAACATGTCATGTAGGTCGTCTAAAACTAAAGTACATTTAAATTAAATTTGTACCAATTTGTCAGCGTGATGCCTGTAGATGCAGACACATATAGATAGTAAGGCTACTATAATAAAACAAATGAATTTAGTCATCACCTGCAGTTATCCTTTCTTGGTTTTTATAAAACCTGCTCCTTTAACAGAAATGCAATGAACAGGACTTTCATATTGGATTTCTAGATATTTTCTCTCTATATGTCCTTTCACCCACATCTCTGCACCAGTTTTCTTTGGATTTGAATATTGGAATTTTGTAGATTCTACATGTAAGATCATGCAATAATTTTCTGTGTCTAGTTTGTTTCACTTAGCACAATGTCTCTCAAGCTCATCCATATTGTGGCAAATAGCAAGATCTCATTTTTTTTTTTTTTTTGGTTTTTCAAGACAAGGTTTCTCTGTGGCTTTGGAGGCTGTCCTGGAACTCGCTCTGTAGACCAGGCTGGCCTCGAACTCACAGAGATCCGCCTGCCTCTGCCTTCCGAGTGCTGGGATTAAAGGCATGTGCCACCAACGCCCGGCTAAGATCTCGTTCTTTTTACGTAATACTCCATTAGCACGAGCTAGAGTTTCTCTTTCCACTCTTTATCACGACCGCTTATTTTCACATCTTGTCTATCTGTTGTGGATCATGAGACTCAAATGAACAAGGGAAAGCAGATAGCTCTAGGAACTTTGTGATTTATTAATTTTGGGGGGTATATGTCAGAAGAGCTATTGCTAGGTCATGCAGTGGCTTAATTTTTAGAGTCTCTGAAATTCTTTGTACTGCTTTCCATATGGCTGAAACAATTTGAGATTGCTCCTTCTTATAAGAGGATAAGTACAGAAGACAGGGTGGGAAGAGAAAGAGTTAGAAAGAAGAGCCCAGCATAGTGGGAAAAGGCTGTAATCCTAGCACTTAGAAAGTGGAGGTAGGTGGGTCAGGAGTTCAAGGTCATCTTCTGTTAGTACAGTTACTTGGAGGTTTGAGGCCAGACTGGACTATGTAAGGTCCTGTCTCAAAAAAAAATTAAAAATTATAAAACTAGAAGATCAAGTAAAAGCGGGCCTTGGTGGTGCACGCCTTTAATCCCAGCACTCGGGAGCAGAGGCAGGCGGATCTCTGTGAGTTCGAGGCCAGCCTGGTCTACAAAGTGAGTTCCAGGACAGCTTCCAAAGCCACAGAGAAACCCTGTCTCGAAAAAAAAAGAAAAAAAGAAAAAAAAATCAAGTAAAAAATTATAAAACTAGAAGATCAAACATCACCCAGGGCCACATGTCTTTTATCCTTACTTTATTGGTGTTGGTCCTGTTTGTATGTTTGAGGGTGTTGGATCCTGTAGTTACAGACAGTTGGGAGGTGTCATGTGGGTGCTGGGAATTAAACCCCAGTCCTTTGGAAGAACTGGAAGAGAAGTCAGTGCTCGTAACATCTGAGCCGCCTGTCTCTCTAGCCCCAAAGGGCACAAGAACGAAGCTTCACACTCAGGCACTGTGCATATCCTCTGAAGCATCTGAGGTTTGCGACCCCAGTTCCGCATTAGTGACAGTCAGCAGTGGAAGAACGAACACAGACACTTCGCCTGTGTTCATGGGAACTGGAAAGTCTCAGATACCTCCGAACACCAGAAAACGTCCATCAAGTCAGAGGTTGGCTTCAGGTGCCTTTTTCCCAGACTAGAAAAAACAAAAACAAAAACAAAAAAACCTCACAAACAAAGCCTAGCGCTGGAAGCAGGGTAGTCTTGGCAGAGTCACTTGACACACCGACTGGATTCTGATTGGGCTTTGGGAGTGTGTGCTCTGGTGATCCCGCCCGAGCAGCTCTAGGGGGCGGGGCCAAGTGCCAGAGGCCACGGTATTGGTTAGTTGCTTCAGGGCTCGTCCAATCAGAACCATCCTTCTTGCGGCGCGAACCGAGTGGAGCGGGTCGCCGGAGGGCCTTGTCCGCGCGCGGAGTTTGGATAATGGTTCTGCCTGGCGCAGCGTGAGCGTGAGTGAGGTGAGTTCCACGAACTCCGGGCTGCGGTGACTCCGCCGGGTAACCGGCCTTTCCCGGCCAGGAGCCCGAGGCCTTGGCCCTCCCCCTAGTCGTCCGCCCCAGTTCTTCGTAGCCTTGCCTGTTGCGAGAAGTCCAGAGGAGAGGAGAGCCCCGGAGCCCCGGAAAAGGCCGTGTCAGGCGGCCGAGGCTTGAGTCTTGTGGTCCACACATTCCTTAAGGCCCAGGACCGTGTCTTTTGTCTGTCACACGCGAGAAACGATCTCGTCTGCTTCCCGGAGTTTGTGTGAGGCTGCTACGACCCCTCATCAACACATGCTCCCGAGACTCTAGAGGAGGTGAAATTGCTTTGCCCTGGTTTTAGACTTCGAGAATGCGAGGCTCAGGCCTCCTTTGCCGAAAGGGCGTGGGCTTGGATGCAGAGATAAGATTTGAGTAAGACCAGCCCAGCTCAGAAGCAAATACTACTGCCGCAGGCTTTCCCACTCCCCCAGCCTGCCCAGAGGTCGCTTGATGGCTGGGATGAACCGGCCTGACAGCTGCTGGCACCACCCTCAGCCACACAACGCTCCTGTACCTACCACATTAAGGGGTAGGGGTAGGGGAGACTGATTGAGGGGTCACGAGATGGAGCAGCGGAGAGGCAGAAGTCTGGGGAGTAGAAAATCAATTGGATCTGTAGTGGAACTTGAAAGGCTCTTCTTACTTTAGCCACCTGGTGCTGAGGTGACTAGTGTGAACACAGCACCTTAGCTTGAATCAACATTTTGTTAGCCTGGCTGCTATTCTGTCAGAAGGTCAATTTAGATTTATTTACTTGGAGGAAATAGGATTTCTAGGTGCCAAATCACTTTTTTTGGGAGGGGGCAGTTTTGAGACAGGGTTTCTCTAGCCCTGGCTGTCCTGGAACTCAATCTGTAGACCAGGCTGGCCTCAAACTTGCAGATCTGCCTGCCTCTACTTCCCAAATTCGGTGCTGCGACCACCACTATCAAATCATTTTCAATGCTAGTTCTCAAGATAGGGCATGGTTGCCATTTTTGTTTGTTTGTTTGTTTGTTTTGGCTCTTGTAGTCCAGGTTGGTCTCAAACTTGAAAGGCTCTTCTTACTTTAGCCACCCGGTGCTGAGGTGACTAGTCTGAACGCCGCACCTTAGCTTGAATCAACATTTTGTTAGCCTGGCTGCTATTCTGTCAGAAGGTCAATTTAGATTTGTTGATGGCTGAGATGGCTTTGGACTCATGATTTTACTGCCTCAACTCTCAAGTGCTGGAGTTACAGACCTGTGTCATCATCAACCCAGATACTTTAAATTATATATTTTGAAATATCTACCTTTAAAGGAGAGCACAGAGTGTAGAATCTTAAACTTGGATGATGGGCATATAGGTGTCACTCTGTTTTCTGTACTTTTCCTTTTGTCTTTTGTGGGGAGTAGGAATGTGAGTGTGTCTTTGCTCATGTCTGTGCAGGGGTGTGTGTGTATAAGCAGGCCAGGTATATCTTCCTCAGTTGCTTTCCATCTTAGTGTTTGGAACAGCCTCTCACTGAATCTGGACTTAAACCCACTGATAAAACTAGCAAGCCCCCTGCAGTGGCATTATAGATGCACGTCACCACACGGAACTTTTTAGGTGAGTTCTGGAGACCTGGAATCAGGTCCTCATGTTTGCACCACAGGTACTTTGCTAACAGAGCCATTTCACAGGCCTCTTCTATCTTATTAGGTCCAAAGTCATTGCAGAATAATCAGAACGGTCTAGTGTCAAAAGCCCGTGAGTGTTTTGGCTACCTGTGAAGTAAGATCAGCTCCTACCAGGAGTGGTGGTTCACACATAAAACTCCAGCACTGTGAGTAAGACAGGAGAATGGAGAGCCAGCAGTGGCTTGGAGACTACATCTCAAAAACAGAAAGAAGCTGCCTGTGGTAGCACAAACCTATAATCACACACATTAAAGGGGAGGCAGAGTTGAACATCTTCCTCAGGTACATAGTTTGAGACCAGTCTGCACTATATGATCAGACTCTGTCGCCAAACCCCAAACAAACATTAAAATGCCCATTACATTTAGAAAGTCTTTCCATCCTTTAGCTTTTTTCTTTTTTCTTTTCCCAGCACTTGGGAGGCAGAGGTTAGCCTGGTCTACAGAACAAGTTCCAGGACAGCCAGAGCCACACAAGAGAAACCTTGTCTTGAAAAACCAAACCAAAACAAAATTTTATTAATAAATTAAAATGTTGTGGCCGGGCGTTGGTGGCACATGCCTTTAATCCCAGCACTTGGGAGGCAGAGGCAGGCGGATCTCTGTGAGTTCGAGACCAGCCTGGACTACCAAGCGAGTTCCAGGACAGCCTCCAAAGCCACAGAGAAACCCTGTCTTGAAAAACCAAAAAATAAAAAAATAAAATATTGTGTTATGTGATTATACCAGTTTTATTTTTTATTTTATTGTGATAAGAACACCTGAAATCTCTGAATGGATTTGTTTCACTTTCGGTTTTGAGACAGTGCTAGCCCAGGCTGGTCCTGACCTCTTGCATGCTGTCTCAAATTTCTTTTGGTGAATAATAAATACAATGTAGGCAGAGTGCTGTACCGCAGCTCTCCAGCATCCTCATCTTTCACTCCTAGAGCTAATTAAATTGAATTTGCTCATTTCCTTACACATGGCAATTTTACCCTACTGTAAGTGGAATTATGTAGTATTTGTCCCTCTGTAACAGGCAGTTTTGCTTAGAATGTCTTCAAAGTTCACCTGTGTTGTAGGATTGCCTTCTTTTTAAAGGCTAAGTAATAGCCGGGTGGTGGTGGTGCAAGCCTTTAATCCCAGCACTCGGGAGGCAGAGGCAGGCGGATCTCTGTGAGTTCGAGGCCAGCCTGGGCTACAGAGCCTGATTTAGCTGCCTGAGGCATTAGGCATTATACTCAATATTTTAGTTTTTCTGAGACAGGATCTCATATACCCCAGGTTGACCCTGAACTATTTATATTGCTGAGGCTTGCCTTGAATTTCTGATATCAATCCTTCACCAACTCCAGTTATTTAATATTGTATTGATGGCTTAAGACAGTGAAATCGGATTAAGAGAAATTATTCAGAGGCACACAGTTTGGAAAATAAAGTACCACTGTCCTTACCTGCAGATGATAATAGAGTGTGTCTAGAACACATAAATAACAATCAAAATAACTAAATTAAAAAAGAATTTAGCCCGGTCTGGTGGTCCATGCCTATAATCCCAGCACTTGGATGTGGCTGCCTGAGAATTGATCCTAGCTACATGGTGAGTTTGAGGCCAGTCTGAGCTATGTGAGACTGTCTCCAAAACAGCACATGCAGAGGAGAGAGAGCTAGAGAATTCAGTAAGATAACAGTGTACAACTGATATATAAGACCAATTGTTTAACAAATAAGTTAGACTATGTAAGGAAGGGATAGTCTCATTATAGTAAAAACAAAAAGATTAAAATGTGTAGGGATTTTAAAATATAAATGGAGAAATCTTTAAGACACTGCTAAATGTTACAAAAGTTGACTTAATCAAATGCAAAGTCCTCTTCCCAGGATAGAATAACTTAACATCCTAAAGCATTGGATCTGCATAAGTTAACACAAATTTAATGTAGTCTCAGTAAAGATAAGGTTTTTTTTTTTTTTTCTGGTGCTAGACATGTTGATTCTAAAGTCCACATAGAACAGACAAAATAAAAAACAATGAAGTCAGGTATAGTGTCACACACCTGTAGTCCCAGCATCTAAATCTATAACTGGCAGAAGGAAGGAAGTAATATAGATCACAAGAGACCAATGAAATATAGAAAATAAAGCAATTAGGAAACAAACAAAACCAAGAGTTGGTTCTTTGAAAAGATGTGGTAGAGGACAATTTAAGAAAGCTCACAACAACCTGTAACTCCAGTTCCAGGGAATCTGCTGCCCTTTTCTGGCTTCCTCCATCTGGGTTCTGAGAAACTAACTAAGGTCGTCAGACTTGGTGACAAGTACCTTTAATCACTGAGCCATTGGTCCCTGAAAAGATTTTAAATTGACAGTCTTTTAGCTAGATGAACAAGAAAAGTGCCTTAGTTACTTTTCTATTGCTGTGACAAACATCATGACCAAGGCAACTCATAAAAGAAAACATTTAGTTTGGGGGTTCATGGGGCGTGCATGACCATCATGGCAGGAAGCATGGCAGCAGGCAGGCAGGCAGTCATGGTGCTGGAACAGTAGCTGAGAGCGTACATCTGATCTGCAAATTGGAGGCAGAGAGACAGCTGAAATGATACAGGCTTTTAGAATCTCAAAGCCCCCAGTAACACATCTCCAACAAAGCCATACCTCTTCCAACAAGGCCACACCTCCTAATTCTTCTCAAACAGTTCCACCAACTGTGGACCAAGATTCAAATATATGGGCCTATGGGGGGCATTCTCATTCAAACCCCACAGAAAGAAAGGGGATTCCAATAACTAAGGAATGAAAGAAAGACTGTTACAACAGACTATAGAATTAAAAGGATTTTTATCCTGGCCTGGTAGTACAGGCCTATAACTTCAGCTTCTCAGGAGGTTGATGCAGGACAATTAAGTTCAAGGCCAACCTGGGCTGCAGAGTAAGCTTAAGATAAGCCTGAGTAACTTAATAAGAACTGTCTCAAGATAAAAAGTGAAAAGGTTAGTTGTAGTTCAGTGGCAATGCTGTAGGTTCTGTTCCCAGTATAAGGTGGGACACAAAGGAATAAAATGCTTTTTATGAAAGTGCTATGAACAATTATATGTTGACAGCCATGATTTGAGTGTGTCCCATGGGGACTGGAGAGGCAGCTGAGTGGGTTCAGTCCCCAGTACCCACATGGCCGCTCACAACAACCTGGAACCCAGTTCCAGGGGATCTGCTGCCCTTTTCTGGTTTCTTTGGGCACAGGCATGAACAAGGTGCACAGACATTCATGCAGACAGAATACTCATATGTAGAAAAACTTTTTAAAAAATCTTTTAAAAAGGGGCTCAGTTGTAGGCACATTAATTCTTCAGTATGATTGTTGAAAGGTGGGGCCTGCTGGGAAGTATTAGAGTCATGGCAAGAGAGACCTCATGATTCATGAATGTCTTCACTGGAATGTGTCTGTCTCATCTTCTCTTTTCTGCATGACCCCTTTCCATCATGAGGGGCCCACCAGAAACTGACACGGGAGCCATGCTCTTTGACTTCCTGCTTTTTATAGTTGTAAGCTAAAGTCAACCATTCCTTTGTAAGTTACCCAGTTTCGGGTATTCTGTCACAAACAACAGAAAACCTGTAACACATTTGATAATGTATATTAAATGTCTAAGTTCTAGAAATGTATAACTACTGAATCATGGGGAGGAAAAAAAGGAAAAAAAACTGAACAGATTTAGAATTAGTAAGTAGATTGAATACCTTAATCAGAAATGTTCTTAGATACCAGAAAAATCTCAGGACCAGATGGCTGCTGGTGATTTGTACTTAAGTATAAAGAATTAACCCTAGTATTACCAATTATGCTGGTCAGGTCCCTTTCCTCATGAGAACCCATCGTGCAGTGGTGCCAAGCTGCTGCACCTCTTGGTAATGTGTGCAGCCTGTTGCTTGTATGAAATGCCCCAAGGGACCCTGGGGACAGTTTTCTGGTGGATATTCATGTGTTTGCTCTCTTTCTGTCTTCAACCTATGTTTCAGACATGTATACAGATTGCCTTTGGGCATAATAGACAGGATTCATGCTGGTCAGGTCTTCATGTCCATCCTCACCAAGTTGCAGAATAAGGAACATGTGATTGACACCTTGTGTGAGCCAAGTTCAAGTTCCCTGGGCACCAGAAGATCCACATTGCAAAGAAATGGGGCTTCACCAAGTTTAATACAGGCTAATTGAAGGCATAGTAGCTGAGAAGCCGCTCAGCTATGGTGCCCTGGGCAAGTGGTGGGCCCTGTACTCCTGAGAGTCTCCACTGTGTTGAGATCACACCCTACCAAACTATGGTCACTAATTAATCTCACATCCAGTTAAAAGATTAACACTAAAATCATCTTCAGACTGCATGAAAAAATTATATATAAAGAAATATAGCTTAGCAAATTAGAAACACCCAGTTTGAAAGAGCATAGGTGAGTTGAGAATTTAACATAGTGCTTGTACCTTTTGAAAGGCTCTGAGTTTGCTTCTAACACCAAAACAAAGTATAGAATGAGCAAAGGATTTTTCTAGAGAGGATACACAGTGTCCAGTAAACACATGAAAAACATGTTCATTTTCATAAATTGTTAGAGAAATGCCAATATTCAGGATAAAAGAAACCCTCACATCCAATAGGGTGACTGTCATATTAAAAACACAAATACAGCCGGGCGGAGGTGGCGCACGCCTTAAATCCCAGCACTCGGGAGGCAGAGGCAGGCGGATCTCTGTGAGTTCGAGGCCAGGCTGGACCGACAGCCTCCAAAACAATACAGAGAAACCCTGTCTCATAAAAAAACAAAAACAAATACAAATACAAAAAAGCCAGAAAATAGCAAGTGTTGCTAAGGATGCTTAAAATTTAGAAGCCCTGGTCACTATTGGTAACAGTGTAAAAAATGGTATCACAGAGGAAAACAGTATAGTAGTTCCTCAAATGATAAAAAGAATTTCCATATGCTCCATTAATTCCATTTCTGGGATGTATCCAAGACAACTGAAATCAAGTCCTCAAATGTAATAGTTAATTATTTTAAACATTTTTAGATTTATTTATTTAATGTGTGTGCGTGTTTTGCCTGAATGTATGTATGTGCACCATGAACATGCCTGGTGCACAAGAAGGTATCAGATCCCTTGAACTGGAGTTATAAATGGTTGTGAGCACCATGTGGGTCCTGGGGACCAAACGCGGGTCCTCTGCAAGAGCAGCAAGTGATCTTAACAGCAAAGCCATCTCTCCTGCGCTGTGCTAGTGAGACTGGACTGAGGAAGGCCTAGGATACTCCGTGCACACTCTGAGCATGTCTGTGATGGTGTTTCCTAGATCCTGGGGGCTCGGGCCTAGTCAGCAGGTTAGCCCTTTGATGACTTCCCAAGGTGATGGCCTGTTGGGAGGCGTTATCTAGTTGAAGAGGGAGGCCACTTCCTCCTTCTTCCAGTCCCTCATACTCCCTTCTCTCAGCTTCCAGGCCTGGATGATGTGAACTGTTCTGCCCCACTCATTTCCCCACCGTGATGAACAGACACTGTGAAACATAAATCAAACCAATTACTGCTTTTAAGTTGTTAAGGCATTTATTCAGACACAGCAACAAGAAAATTAGCTGATTTGTCTAGTATTTCTATTCTCGTGCTCATAGCAGTGTTAACAGTAACTGTGCTACAATTCTGGCAACTTGACTGGAATTAAGTAAAACCCAAATGGTTGGACACACCTGTGAGGGATTTTTTTCTTAATTAAATCACTTGAATTGGGAAGACCTACTTTTAATCTGGATTTCTGAGGTGGGAAGATACACCTTAAATCTGGGCCAAGCCTTCTGCTGGAAGCCTATGTAGAGGACATGGAAGAAGGAATTTCTTGCTCTTTACCTGCTTGATCTCTTTAGCAAGTCCATTCCTTCACTGGCATTAGAGCCTGCTTTAGAACTCTGGCACATACTGAAGACAGCCGTGTGGACTGAGGAGCTGCTGGACTCTTGGCCCCTCTGCTGGTAGACAGCCATTGCTGGGTTAGCTGGCTCACAGCATGTAAGTCATTCTGATAAATCCCCTTTCTATATACACGGACAGATTCATTGTATAAGTTCTGTTCCTCTACAGAACTCTGACTAACACAGTAGCCAAAAAGTAGGAGCAATCCAAATGTCCATCAAGAGATAAACATAAGCAAAATGTAGTATATACATAAGTAAAATGTATATTATAGGACGTTGCTCAGCTTTAAAGTGAAGAAGTTCTCACTCATGCTACTTAAGTGATGATGTTCTGTTCAGTGAAGCTCCCTGTGATTCCACTAAATGAAAAATAGACAAGTCAGACTACAGGGCTACAGGGCAGTGGGTGCTGGTGTCTCAAAGGAGGGAGGCATCCGAAGAAGGTGTTAATTAATGGGTAAGTGCCAGTGTTATAAAATTTAAAACTTGTGGAGTTTGATGCACAGCAGTGCCACTCTCTTGAATATTAAACATCCTAATTAACTTTTGCTTGGTGCCATGGCGCACATATGAAGGTCAGAGAACCACTTTCGGAGTTGGTTTTCTCCTACTTTGGGTCCCAGGGGTTGAATTCAAGTTGTTAGGCTTGATCAGCAAAGAACATTCTAAAATGATAATGATGGAAAGTAATGTGTCATGTAGTTTCATACAATAAACTTTAAAAAGACAGCTTGAAGCAGCACCTCTCCCATTGGCCAAATGTGAAATAATCTGTGTTCAAAGTACCATCATCCCTCAATGTCTATGAGGGATTGGTTTCAAGACACCTGCGGATGTACTTTAAGGATGTACTATATATGTAAAATAACTTGATTTGCTGATGGCAAGTTACTGGCCTTTTATAATTTAAAATGTCTTTATTTCTAATTACTTAAAAGCAAACAAAACAAACAAACAAACAAAAAAACCAAGGCCTTATTTGCTGTGTAGCCCCGACTGACCTGGATCTTTTGAGGGGCTCTTCTGTGTCTGCCTCTTGGGTGTTGAGATTATAGGTGTATGCCACTGTGCCCCCCCCACCCCCAGACAGGGTTCCTCTGCGTAGCTCTGACTATTCTGTAACTCGCTCTGTAGACCAGGCTGGCCTTGAACTCACAGAGATCCACCTGCCTCTGCCTCTCTGGGATCAAAGACTGTGCACCACCACTGCCTATTTTCTTTTTCAGAAATTTTTTTCTTTTAAATTTTTTAATTTTTTTGTGCCAGGATCTGAACTCAGTCAGGATCCTTGTACATGTTTAATAACTCATGTAACAAAAAAACCCCCACATTTGAATTATTTATTGTGTGCATGTGTGAGGACTTTTTTTGTTTTGGGAGACAGGGCTTTTCTGTGTAGTTCTAGGTGTCCTAAAACTCACTCTGTAGGCCATCCACCTGCCTCTTCCTCCTAAGTGCTGGTATTAAAGTGCCACCTGGCAGGGGCACCATTTTTTTTTAAGTAACAACTGTATTGAGATATATTTCACATAAAATCCAGTTGTTTAATCCAGTTGACACTTAGTATACTCAGAGATGTGTGCACCTACCACTACAATCAAGGTTAGACCGTTTTTGTGAGCCCACAGAGAAACCCTAGGCCCCTTCCCATTGTCCCTAAGTCCTGTCATCCTCCTAAACCCTGGACTCTGGTTTTCAGTCAGAGACTTGCTGTCTCGCTCTGGGTGTGCTGGTACTTGTTCTATAGCCCAGGCTGGCCCTAAATTTGCAGTAATTTTCCCAAGTGCTGGCATTATAGGTATGTACCACAATATCTGGTTAGCACCCTTGATTTTTAGTTATTTTTGTTGTCAGGGCAGGTAGAGGTTCTTTATGTTGGAGATACTATATTGTTTTTGTTGAGACACAGGTAGAGGTTCTTTATGTTGGAGATACTATATTTTTGTTGAGACACAGTTTTGCTATAACCCGAGCTGGACTTGAACTCTCAGTCTTCCAATCTCAGGCCCCTCCTGAATTACAGATATGCACCGTGCTACCCATTCTATTGGCTTATTGTCCAGTTTACATTTTTGGGGTCTTGCAGTTACTGCCAAATATTCCTTTTATTTCTCAAAATAGTATTTCTGGCTGTCATATCTCAGGTCTGATAGCGTTGACTATCGGGCTGTGTTTACTAGTTCTCATTTCCCATGCCTTGTGTGTGTGGCTATTGCTATGCCTGTCCTTGTGAGTTGTTTTTGGAATTATTTAAGGTCTAGAATAAAGATGTATTTTTCTAGACAGAGTTTTGTGCTTGTCAAGTGCCTTGGCTTTAAATTCATACCTTAAAGTTGTTTATTTAAGTTCACTTAGGTATTGAAAGTTTCTTGGGTTTATGGTTTCGGTGTTGCGTGTTAGCCTTACTTAATCCTTTGGAAACAGCTAACTTTACTTTTCCTATAGATTCGTGGGAAGTGGGGCTGGATTTTTGTTGTTGTTGTTTCCTCTTCCCCAAAGAACATAGTTCGTGGGAATGCTGGTTTCTAGAAGACTCCACACCTTCATGAGCCTTCACTTTGACTTCCTCCAGTCTTTTTGTAAATTGGTGATGTAGTCCTCAAGATTAGACAGATGCCAGGCGGTGGAGGTGCACGCCTTTAATCCCAGCACTTGGGAGGTAGAGGCAGGCGCATCTCTGTGAGTTCAAGACCAGCCTGGTCTACAAAGTGAGTTCCAGTACAGCCTCCAAAGCCACAGAGAAACCCTGTCTCGGAGAAAAAAAAATTAGACAGACATCCTCTGTGCTTTAGTCACTTTTCTCGGTCCCCAGTGTTGTTGAGATTATGGCTCCAGAATTTTTCAGGAAATAAATAAAAGATTGGATGGATAACTTCAGAATTTTTTTTGTTTTATCCAGCAATAAATGACTGGCTGTTTCTGTAGTTACTCTCCTGTGCAGTATGGAAGCAACCATAGGCGATACGTGAGCATGTAAAACAAAATTTACGAAACAGGCCTCAGCTCAG